AGCCGTACCTTGACAGCCAGCCTGAGATAGGGGTTTTGGGAGACGAGAGCTCGTCTTCCATGTTTCTTTGTGCGGCCTCTGTCTTTCAAGTCAATCCCCTGTACACAGCAGCAGCAGCAGCAGCAGCAGCAGCAGCAGCAGCAAGAGAAGCGATCAGCATTCATTTCAGAGCTCGGAGGACTGAAAAAGCAACAAGAAGAAAGCTGGAGTATACCCAAGAGCTGCCTTGTAGATAAACCCGTGCAGAAGAGAAACCAAAACACAACACGGAACACAACAACAACAACAACGATGCAAAACATGTGCGAAACCGCACGACAGATGCATCTATATAACCACCCAGATCCACTGAATCTATTAAAATTAAATAAATATTATATCTTCAAATATACATCAAAAAAAAACGGAGTCTTTCATCCACAGCCTGAAATCGTTTCAGCAGGCTGGCGGCCGCGCTCCCCGCAGGGAGGGGGGAACTGCGGCGGTAACCGGAGAAAGCTCGTGCTTAAACCGAAAAACAAAAACACTCAAACGAAAAAAACTAACATGCATGAATAAATATCCATGAAAAGCGGAGAAAAACGAGAAAAAACCCCACACGATTGGCCGTCAGGCGGCGCAGAAGACGGAAATCGCGAGAGAGGGAAAGCTCACCATTTTCGTCTCTGTCTGTTGAGTGGCCTTAGAACAGAGAAAGTAAAAAGAATATCTCAAAGAGATAAAGCCACTGCCGCCTTTTATCGTTCTTCTTTCCCTATTTATCTAAACCCCTCAACATGAACACCAGGCGGAGCCCCAAGCCCCGCAATCTGCATGCTGCGTGAGGCCCCACACAGTACGCACAGCCAAAGACCAAGTTCCTTCTACAACAAAAATTCAATTGCATTTAATTACTTTTAAATGTTTGAAACTTTATCTCCTTCGAATGTGGCTTTCGTTTCGGGCTAGTGTGTCGGCAATCGCACGGAAAATTCACTTTCCCCCCGCATACAGCATTCAAGAAAACAAAGGAAATATGTTACTTATAAGCATATTCACGTTTCCACACTTTTTCAGTATACGGAGTTAGTGAAAGCATCGATGAGAACCTTAGGTGTGCTCCCTCACGTCACTGCTCTAACGAGAATCCTCGCTTTTATCTGAAACATTTTAACTTCACCGCAGCACACGACTCTCACACATATATAAAATTTCTCGAAAAAACTGCTGAAATAGTTTTTTGTATCCAAGCTTTCCGGGGTCAGCAGCCCAAGATCCTGGGTTTC